ACACTAACACACACACACACTAACACACACACGCACGCACACACTAACACACACTAACACACACACACACTAACACACACACGCACGCACACACAAACACACAGGCACACGGACACACTAACACACAAACACGCACGCACACGGACACACACACATGGACACACTAACACACACGCACACACACATCTTCTGCTGCTCTTTTATCAACCCCCCATTTTCTGCTTTGTCTCTTTTTAAAAGACAACGACCTGTCGGCTTGCAGAGCCCTTGGTTTGGCGGCCGTTTTTTTCCGCATAAACTCAGATCGGCTCGAGGTCTGTGAGCCCGTGGCAGGCGTGTGACGGCGCAGATCCATCCGTTGCTGACACGTGACGGAAGCATGGGCCTCCGGTGCAGCCGGGAGGGATCGATTTCCCGTATCCTATGTATGAGCCGTGATGCTGCGTTTCCCTGAGGGAACACATGGCAGATCCCGTTACGTCAGCTTTGTTGCTGCTGTACAAAGGAAAATGCACTGGGTGGCTCGGCAGAGAAGCCCGGCCTGAGCACTGGAATCACACAGTGTCTTGCGCACGGTTTCTCTTTGTGCCCGCCCCTCGCCCCCTATTGGTTTATCCTTCGGTTTAGCAGTATGATTGACGCATGTTTGACCCTCTCGGCTGTCCTTTCCTTTACCTTGCCGCCTGCTCTGTTTTCAGCAGATGAGTCAGACTCCCTCTGTGGTCCCGGCTCCTAGTGACTGAACGGCGGCTCTGTTTCCATGCTCCGGTCCTGAGGGTCCTGGAAACACCAAGGTGTCCCGGCAGCTTTGACGTCCTGGGGGGGTGGTTACCATAGTTTCTTCTTGGGTTTCAGGGACAGAGTGGGGGCAGTGATTTCATTACGATATGGCGAGCTCTGTTGTCCTGGAAGCCTGTGTGACCGCTGGGACAGACTCTGAAAGGTATTCTCTGCTGTCCTGCGGTCCCGTGTTTCAGGAAGCCCTCAGATTGGAGTGGCCTACCTCAAACGTGCCAAATGGCTGACGACGTCCAGCCCCTGTGGGTGTCTTGATCGGGGTGGGGGTTACGGGGCACTCCGGGGCTTTGGGTCTGATGAGGGCCCTGGAAAATGGAGCGATTCTCCGCACTTTGGCAGGGAGAAGCTGCTGCTGTTTGAACTGTGCCCCAAGCTGAGCGCCACGAGGATTTCTTGGCCCGTTGAGCCATGTCTCCAAGATGCTCATCCCCGCACCCCTGGCTGAAATGGACTTGGCTGCAATTTAAAAGCTTTTGCTCTCTCTGTCTCCAGATCGGGTCTTTGCTGTGGCCCTCGCTCGGGCAGTGCTCAAGCAGGAGAACACGGGGGTGCCCTGCCGGGATGCAGTTTGTGCCGTAGTGGTCCTTAATTACACACCTGAGCTGGGCATGTATATATTACACCGTGAGGACCAAATGTCCCTACAGTGTGATAAAAACCTGCTATTTAAACCATGCGGGAACATTTTTTCCGGTAAAACTCAATTTTATAAAAATCTGTGACTGCAATAACAAAACTGAAATTGCGGAAAGTCTTGAATTTTGTTTGCTTAATAGTAGTTAAGGTTAGGGCTGGGTTGGGGTTAAGGTTGTCATAGTTAGGATTAGGTTTATGCCCGTAGAAATTAAGAGTCCCCACAAAGATATACCGTAGATACCTAATCTGTGTTCAGTCTGAGCTGAGGAGCACGTGGTTCTTTGTAAGTGAGGAGGATGCACGCTCTGAGTAAGCGGCCCTCCCCCCTCAGGCTCGATTCCCTCCTCCCTCTCAGCTCCCTGTTGGTTTCTGTGCGTGGCGTCTGCTGGCAGATGGAGAGACCAGCCAGGGAGGTGAGAGGATGGGGGGGAGGGGCTGTAGACCGCAGGCCAGCCAATCGGGACCCCGTGGCGGGGGAAGCCGGGTGACAGACAGGGGGAGGGGAGGTCACCTCGTTTGTTTGTCAGATGTGTCACATCTTCATCTGACAGCCTGCCGCATTTGGAATAGACCACATCCCGGGCCTGTTCGGGAAGCAGGCCTTTCGAGTCATTTGCTGTCAAGTAACATCCCCAGTGGATTTCAGTGCAGGTTGAGTGGGGGAAGGTTCTGATCCTCCTCCCGGTCCTGGGTTCTTATGGCTCCGCTGTGGGTCCAGTTTGAGTGAGGAGGGGTTTACCCACTGCAATCAGCCTGGATCATCTGAGCTCAACACTTAACACTAACACACATGCCAGGATTTGTATTTTGTGTCTGCTGGACTAACACTAACACTGGACTAACCCCCACCCCCCCCCAGAGGCCACAGCCCGCACCTCAGGACTGGCCGGGCCACTTTGGGCTGTGATTCGCTCAGGCTCTGTGCCCGGTTTCTCAAAGATCGCCATCCTCTGTCACCATTCCACATCACCGCCGATGCTGAAACTCTCCTGTACAAGAGAGAATGTTCTAGATAGTTTCTTTAATTTTCGTGTGTCCAGAGAGTGCTCTCTAAAAGTCCTACCATCAGATGCTAATGGATTTCTTGTGAAGAAAAGCATCTCCCAGACTGAGACCCATCTGTCAGTTGTCTGACTCTGATATCCTCGCTCCTGTGACTACAGGCTCTTCATCTACGACCCTCTTCCCTCCTGTGTTTGCTTTTTCATTTTCTGTTTTTTCACTCTAAACCCTCATGGTTGTGTGTCTCATTCAGAGGCTTTATCCCTTCCCTGAATTCCCCTCTAGGCTCCACCCACCCGTATCCGGTCAAACACGTTGTCCAGCCAAATGGGCAGAGTCAGTCCTGGCGCCCTCCAGTGGCCTGTGACACACCTGCATGCCGCTGGTTGAGATCGCCCGGTCGTCGCGGCTGGTGCCGTTCGCTCCGCACGTGCGTAAACGCAGCACCGGCTCCGGGTGCATTTGAGACTCCCGTGTCTCGGGGTAGGCGTCGTCTAGGACAGCGGGCTTTTCCGGAAAACTGCTGACTTTGTATGGTGAGGTCGGGGTTTCCCGGCGTTCCGCGCTTCTCGAGAGCGGCGTTAGCTTTCTGTTCTCTCTGCATCTCCTCCCCGCATCACAAGAGCCCCTCGAAGATGCCGGTTTGCTGTCGCCGCAGACATTGCAGGCACGCCCTATATGGTGTACATACTCAAAATATTTGGTCTGGGATTTTTTTATTTATTTTTTTTTATGCGAGTGAGAAGTTTAAGGAAACAAATACCCGAAGTTAAGGGACAGACTTGGTGAGCTGGGGTGTCCGACCCTTTCAAAAAGTGGTGTTTCAAAAAAAAATATATATATCCAGTGAGTAGGGTTAGAAGATCATAGCTAGCTAGCTGGTTAGCAGAACTCATGCTTCAGCATCTCCTAAATAAGCAACATGTTTGTGTGATAATTAGTGTAGAGCTCCTTGTAAATGCCACTGCTCCTCCCCCCCGTCCCTCTGTCCTCCCACAGGTGTGTCTCCTCGCTCCTTTACCGCCTTCTGGTTCTCGGCTGAGCCTGCGGACACAGTGACCGTGCGGGGCGGCCACGCCCTGCTCAACTGCTCGGCGCACAGTGACTGGGGGACACCCCCACGCATCGAGTGGAGGAAGGATGGCGCCATCCTCGACCCTGCGACCGACGATCGGCGGCAGCTGCTCCCTGACGGCTCGCTGCTCATCTCTGGTGTGCTGCACGGCAAGAACAACAAGCCCGACGAGGGTGTCTACCAGTGCGTGGCCTCCATCGATGGCCTGGGCTCCATCGGCAGCCGCACAGCACGCCTCACGGTGGCCGGTAAGGGTACTGCAGGCATGGTCGACATGATGGCAACTCTCTCATTGCATTACTCGGGGGGTAATGCTCGGTACCCAGAAGGTTCTTTTTTCTCATGTAAACTGTTCCTCTGTGGGGGGGGGGGGGGCTTCCACTGCTTTCAGACTGCCTTAGTCTCCATAATTAATCATTGCAGAAAATAACCTCGTCTGCAGCAATTTGCCACCATTACCACTGAAATCCCGTAATGGTCTGCTCCCTTGAAATTATTCAGCCAGCGGATTTAAGTCCTTCATCCCCATTTGGGATTTTTTTGCTTAAATGTTTCATGAAGTGCCCAGCGACTATGTCATTCTTCTCAAAGTCCTTTTTGCTTGGGCCCCTGCAAGGCTCTGGTGGCGAATCCCCTGGATCCATTACCGTCTGTGTCTCACAGCATGCAGGAAACGTCAGCCCTGCGGGGTACCCCGCCCCCCCCAAAGCAGCTCCTTAATAAAGACATGAGACAATAGAGGAGCGGCTCTGCCCAGTCAGACCCCTCTGCTTGGCAAGTCTCTCTGTCTGTCTCTCTATCTCTGTCTCTCTGTGTCTCTGTCTCCCTGTCTGTCTCTCTATCTCTGTCTCTCTGTTTCTCTGTCTCTGTCTCTGTCTCCCTGTCTGTCTCTCTATCTCTGTCTCTCTGTTTCTCTGTCTCTGTCTCTGTC